TCATAAAGTATTTACATTTATTTACACTTTACAGGAAACGAAAACTCTTTCAATTCCACCTAGAAGTTTCTCTTCCATGAATATATACACATTGTCAAGCTCTTCTACTTTAGAGCCATCAACAAATATGGGATTGGGTGAAGAAGAGTTTACTGCCGCTGCTACTGTTGCTGCTGCTGCTGCTCCTCCACCTTATTCTTTTGGTACAAATGTTGACTACACAGTGGATGACTGTCATCATTCAGTTGTAAAAGATAATAGAGTTGTTCGTGTGGATGAAGTGAATCATCTCACCACTACTACTAATAGTATTGTCAGTGGACAAGGTTGTCCTGGTCCTAGTGCCAGACGACTCATGCACATGCAACATCAGAATGTTCCTGCAAATCAATCTGTTAGACAGAGACAAAGTTTTTGTTCTGGCACAATGTTTAGTCCTACAAATCAATCATCTCCAACACCTCATACGGATACGCTCTTAACATCATGTGATGATCGCTCGTCAATTGACGGAAACCAAATTCACATTACACGGCCAAATACCGACTCGGTCGCTTTATCTTCAGTAAACACAACAAACTCACCAACCACTGTCACTTGCGATCCATCTCTAGGTCCCTCTTTAACTCGTAGCTTCAAGGGTAAGTGTCAACTGTTTTAAAAAAAACTTCTGTTGTGTTTATGATTCTGAAACGCAAATTCGCAATATCTGAGTGTGTTAAATGTGATCATCCTCGACAACTCAGTCTTAAATTATTCTTATAATGTATTGATTTTTCGGAATGATACCCATTATAATTCATTATCTCATTACTTGTACTATAAATAATTAACAGCTTACACAATTTACTTGTCCTTAATCAAAATAATGCTTTATCGCAAATAATCGTAAAAAAATAATAGCTCGTAAGTCAGCTCTACAATGCTCTGTTAGTTATACTGAACTACAGCATTGCATATTGAAGCGTAGTAACCTGCAATCATTGTTACCATCTTAAAGCTCCAGTTCCGGCGGCTTGGATAAATGACAAACGGAGTAAGCAGTGTGTACACGCACTGAAGTAAAAATGATTAAGTCATGGGCGAATAATTCACAAGGTCAAAAGATGTGCAAATAGTAGCTCGGGTAGAAAAGGTTGACTCACTTGTCGAAAAGCTAGGACAAGTTTTGTGGGCTCAACATATTAGTACATACACTTCAGGAGACACTCGTTATTTGACTGGACACGGTGATATGAATAAAAGCTGTGATAGATTGCCATCTATCGTTCTATCGTGATTCTCTGGTCGGGATAGCAGACATGGTACAACTCATCGGCTTGAGACGTTATCATACTTAATTCACAGCAGAAGCCAATGACGGTCCTGCTTCAACTTTCTTTGGCATGCATAAATATGAGGGGGACTTGTTATACTGAAAAAATTCTGAATTTTCTCGTTTGTACTTTTAATTGAACTAACTGTAATGTTATATACTGCTATAAGTAGTTATTTTACATTTCACTTTCTTCTTCCTTCCCTTCAGTTCTAATACTTCATAGTATGTTATCCATAGTTTCGATCTAATTGTTTTCACAATTTGTGTTACATCATGAAATCGTTTTTTCTTAATTTTCCGCATCTTTCAATTAAAAATTGACTTTAGGCTACTTTTGTAAGTTATATTTTTTCATGTTTGTGCCTATAATCGTCGTGTCTTGCACAGTTGTGGTTTTATAATGCACTTGTCATAGCTAGTGATATAGACAACTTGCATCCGTTTCGCTAATTTTCTTTTAAACCCCTTTCCCTTTCAACCTGTGTTGATGATCAATCTCCCAGACACTAATATTTTTTCGTTGTTTTTATTCTGGATAAAACATTTTCCTCTTTTTATAATAAATTATTCAATTACACTATTCATCATTATTCTTTGGCGGCCAGCTAGCGATGCTATCTGGTTGTCTAAACCAAAGAGAGTGTAATCAGGTTAAAACTGATGGTTTAGTGTTAAAAAAAAACCGAATACCTTAATCGCTGAATCACAGCTTCGCTATTCAAAATTATGAATATATCCTTCAAGAGGGCAATTTTGAATTGGTTTTCAGGATAACTAAAAATAACTTGGACTTATTACAACATGGTGGGCACAGCTCATTCCCGGGGAGCTGCTATTCATGTACCAAGATGCATGATATAAATCATGTTAATAAAACAGCAGTACATATGGTTATTATGAGTGGTGCTTCATGTGCTTTCTTAATACTTATTTCTGTTATCTATAGTTTTAGTAGTAGTATTGATGCTTGAATTTGAAGCACGTGACTTCCAAACACACTGCACAATAAGCTTAAGCTAGAACATTGTTCCATCGATTTCGATTTGGAAAGGTAACAGTTATTACTTACTCACATAATGACACACAAAACAAAAATCCGTTTCCCGAAACCAAATGCATAAAAATTTATAATTGGACTGTATTTAATCAACGATGAAACTAAGTAATCTAATGGAAATCGATGAAAGGAAAACATGCACGTTTTTTAAAAGACTTATTCTATCTTAATGTATTGTAATTCGTGTCACGCATTGATTGGCAGTGTTTTTATAATAATAATAATTGCTATTCACAACTCTAAGCATCAGTACTGTTCTTCTCCCATCTTTATTTTCGCTCTATCTCTCTGTCTCTCTCACATATTGGATGTAAAACGAAAGCGAACGGACACTCGTCCTTTTGCTAAACAAAGGACAAGTGTACTACAAAGCAGTTCGCTCCGTTCTTCTATATGGATGCGAAAAAAGGCCGGTAAGAGTAGAGGACATTCGTAGGCTATTAGTATTCGATTATAGATGTCTTCGAAGCATTGCTCGTACATCATGGGACAGCCGAGTAAGCAATGCTATAGTTAGGAATCGAGTACTAGGTAGGGATGGCAGATCAATAGATGAAGTATTGAAACTTCATCATTTGGGGTGGTCGGGTCATGTGTTACGTATGCCCAACCACCGACTGCCTCGGCGAGCTATGTTTTGTGATGTAGGAATGAGTTGGAAGAAAGCTAAGGGCGGCCAAACCAAAACATGGCACAAATCCATGAAGACAATGACAAGTGGACTGAGTCACGTTAGTAGGTGTAGGCTACCTGGTTTGTGTCCGCGAGATGATGGTAACCGATGGTTAGAATGACATGGCTGAAAATCGTTTGTAAATGGCGCAGGTGTGTTCTCTCAACTTCTAACCTTATGAATTCCTCATCATCTCTATCTTTCTCTTTCTAAATTTATCTCACTGATTCATACTTCTTGAATTATATCCTCGAACTTTAATCTCCCTGGTTACTACTACCTCTACCACTATGGGATTCGAACTGATAGTTGCGTCTCTGTGCTGACGCGGTATGACAACCTGAACTTATGTACTCATGTACGAAGTTCTACGTTGTAACTAACTGACTGGCTGATTTAGAGATGTTGTTTTTCATTGATGCAAATATTTTCACCTATCACAATATTGAATGGTACATGTTACAACTAGATTATAATCTTCATCATTTCACGTATATTATTTTGGTATATATTTGAATATATACATCATACTTTTTTGTTTTTATAAAAACTAACTACTGACTGTGAAAGGTCAATAAAATAGGGTTGATAATTTTTTTTTCTCTTCCTTAGTAAATGTTTCCCTCTTTTTTTTTCCTTCCAAAACTAAAAAGAACACAGTCTGTGTACGCATGTGTTCCTGAACGAGAAATACTTTTTTTTGTTTAGAAAAAAAAATACATATTATCTTTTGAATATATATTTAACTATTTTACGATGTACTCTCTTTTTTTTTTTCAATACTTGTTTATATATAATCCATATTATGTAGGTGTGTGTGTGTATGTGTGCGCGTGTGCGGATTTCGCTGCTACCATTTCTGATGCCTACCTAATCAATCGATTATGGCTAATAGTTACTTGATATGATATATTTAGAGATTAATTTTGAATTGTTATGATTGCAGACTGCAATTGATGGTCAATCTCTGTGGTTATATTTCATTCAAATCGTAAACCGATCAGTGCTAGACCACCGTTGAATATGTAATTATGGGACTGCTCAGCAGTGTGTGTACATCCATGACCTTGTCTGCGAAAATCAAACCATAGTTGTCTAAAATTGTGATCGGCTCATCTTTCCAATCAAACCCAACAATATCCGCAACCCTACGCTGTTGCTTAATTTTTAGTTTAGGTGGATTGATTCAATATAGAACCTTTAGTCACAAATTTTTTTGTATATAGTCAGTCAGTTAGTTACAACGTAAAACTTCGTACGTAAGTACATCAGTTCAGGTTGTCATACCACATTAGCACACAGAAGCAATCGTCACTTCAAATCCCATAGTGATACAGGTACTAGAAGTATTAGCGGTAATCAAAAAGATTAGGGTTCGAAGATAATATTGAATTACAATTCAGTGAAATAAACTTAGAGAGAGAAAGATAGAGTTGATGGGGAATTCAGAAGATGAAATTTGAGAAAAAGAATGGATGCACCTGCATCATTGCAAACGATTTTGAGCCATGTCATTCATGGTCTCTAACCATCGGTTACTATCGTCTCGTGGAACCCAATCAAGTAGTCGACACCTGCCAACATGACTCGGTCCACTTATCAGTGACTTTATGGATTTGTGCCATTTTTTGGCTTGGCCGCCCATAGCATTCTTCAACCTACTCTGTCCTAGGCCTTCCTTTCTATTTCCAATCGTTGTTCATTTTTCTCACATCTATCTTCAATTCTCGGCGTGATATATTCTTTGGTCTTTTACTTTGACCTTGGGGGTTCCAATCGAGCACTCGTCTTGTGACACAGTTTGATTCTTTCCTCAATGTGTCACCCTTATTCTATTGAATTTCGATTACTATTCGATTAGTGCAAATCCTAAAGTGAATTCTCTGTGATTAGTACCAAAGCATTATTCTGTTAGACTTGTTTATTTTTTTCTACATTACAATTGATTACATTGTCACTTAATTTGCATTTATTCAAGTAATAAAGGTAAAAAGGTAACTTACAAAAAATCAAGTAGGCTGATAAATATGTATTATAACTGAAAGTATAGTAATTCAAAGCTGCCAGTTTCTCCTAGTTGTCGTATTGATTTTTTTGTGTATGTCTTTTTTTAATGGCTTTTTTTTTTCTTCGGTCTACTAACATCAGGTTGAACTGCTTTTTGTAAGTCAAAGGTATTTGTTTTTCTTCGTATCACTTCATTGTACCATTTTTACATGATTCCTTCACGGATTTCGTTACACACTTGTTTACTACATTATATATTATTTATTTTATTTAACTATTTGTGTGCCTCTAATAAAGAATGTATTGATATTGGTTTTACTTATCTGTTTAACTATGGGGTTCGTAGTTCAAAAACACTGTTTCTTGTGTGCGAATAGGTTTGGTAAGCTTTTTACATACTCACTCTGTAGGTTTGCTTTTATAAATCTGTGAACAAGATTTCTTCTGAAAAAAAAGTATATATATATACAATTTTAATGTCTGACAATTGTCCTTTTTCAGACATTCTACTGGGACGAATACATTCAAATCAAGGCGGTGGTAGCACATCCAGATCAGCTAGTTATCGTCGTATTGTTCGTGCACGTTGGCATCATTCCACTGGGAGTGTTCTTACTTCAAATTCTGTGATAAGAGGATCTGGTAGTGAAGAATATTTAACTGCAAAAAACACTAATCGAGACACTTTGTCTCATCAACATTCAGAAGAGTTAACTAGTGGTGGTGGAATGCATAAATCCTCTCCATCATCATCATTATCTAATAAAAATCATACAACATCGAAATTAGGCAGTCGATTTCGTGTATCGAAAAGACGATCTCGA